ATAATTAAAAACACAACATTCATACCATTCGGGCGGGTTACAGTCTTAGCCAGATTCTGAGGGCTGTGCGGAAGGTCTGGAGGGTGGTGAGGGTACGAATCTCCACGGGGAGATCGTTCCATAGGGTCGGAGCTACCACCGAGAAGGCTCTCCTCCGCGTAATTGCCAGTCAACATTGACCGGCAGATGGAACTCGGAGGAGGCCTTCCTTCTCCTTATTATAAATCCCTTTATCCAGTATTGTTTTTTTTAATTATTTATTATAAATTTCCTCATTTAATATTTTCTTCTTAAAAAAAATATGCTTGATGATAAATTGCCCCATTCAATATTTTGTGCAGTTCTTTCTCTTTCTCATAGTAATAATTTAAATAATAACAATAATTTTAAATAATTTAAATAATAATATAATGTAAATCAAAGTACAGAAAAATTGCTTCAGGCTGTGAAAATGAAGTACAGTATAAAAACAACAGAAACAAAGGCAGCATATAAGGAAAAACATCTGGATGACAGATTAAATAGATGGAAAACCAAAGCTTTGCATGGACAGCACTTGGAAAACATTGAAGGAAAATGTGACGACAACTTGACATGGAGATGGCTTAAGATGGGAACCATCAAGAAAGGAACGGAAGGTTTAATACTGGCTGCTCAAGAACAAGCACTACAAATTAATGCCATGAAAGCGAAGATACAAAAATCCACTGACAACCCAAACTGCTGACTTTGCAACGACAAAGTCGAAACTGTTTCACATTTAATATGTGAAAGCAGCAAAATCGCACAAACTGATTACAAAGTTAGACACGACCGAGTTGCTAAATTAATCCACCGGTCATTATGTAAAAAATTATCTGTATCCAAAAAGTCATGGGAACACAAAGTTGAAAAAGTTACCAAAAATGAGAAGGTGAAGACGGATCGTCATTTGGAACACAACACACCAGATATCACGGTTGTAGAGGGCCAAAATTGTATCACGGTTGTAGAGGGCCGAAAAGTACAATTTATTGACATTGCGGTACTAGGAGATGCCAGAGTCAAAGAAAAGGAACTGGGAAAAATCATGGAATACCGCGACCGGGCCATCGAAACTACCCAATTATGGATGAAGCATGCAACAGTGATACCCATTGTCATCAGGGTACTTGGTACCATGTCCAAGAATTTTACAAGACACACCCACAAATTGCAGCTTCCTGCAATAGCACCAGCGGAACTGCAAAAAACTGCGCTACTCGGAACATCATATATTTTAAGAAGGTGCTACCGAGGATGCTGGCAGCAACCTGTATTAGCACCAGTCAATAGTATTTGTGATGCATTTTTGAACGTTCAGTTGACTGAGTTTCATGTTTAATGAATAAAGTAAATAATGCTAATAATGGATGCTTCAAAATCATTAATTTCATAATTAAAACAACTCATAAGAACAAGCAAAAAAAGATATTTTAGAGAATGAGGGAAATGGATACAATTTTCAGTAAAACTAATTGTTTCCCCGCCAAGGAAACCTTTTAAGATTAAGGAGCCGGTGTATATAAATAGATATTTTAAATGTTGCATTTCAAGGAAGACTTGAGGGCGCAGGTTGGAGTTCCGCGCTTTTTTCCGGCCCCTTTTGCTTGGTCTCGTATTCCTCCGGGCCTCCAGAGGTCGCTGCTTCCGACGGGAGCCGCCGCCGAGCGCATGCGCGTTCATAGATCCATCCTGTGCTGAGGTTCTCCCGACGCTGGAGCGGCGTCCGGGGGCGCATGCGCGGAAGCTGCACCTAGCGGGCATCGGCCATGGCTGAGTGGACGCCTGCCCAGGTGAGGGTCAGCAATGCCCTTCCCGGTCGGTGAGGGGGAAGGAGGAGGGGAGGGGCAGGAGGGAGGTCCTGCGGTCCAGGTTGGCTTTTGGAGGGGTCTGGGGGGGGCCTCCAGATGCCCCAGAGGAGCTGCTGCCTCTTTGGGGGACCCTGAACACCCTGATTGACAGCATCAAGGGGCGGGGCAAGAGGGCTCCTGAGCATGTGCAAAGTGCACAGCCTTGCAGTTTCAATAAAGCCCCCAATTTGGGGGTGAGGGGAAGGCTGTTGGGAGCAGCAAGAAGGATCCCCTTGAGAGGGGAGAAGAGCTGTCAAATGGCTCCTTTTGTGGGGCTGGGGGAGAGGAGGAGACATTGGGGGGGCTGGCTGGCTTTTTGGGAGGAGGTCTGGGGGGGCTCCAGATGCCCCAGACGGGCTGCTCCCTGACTGACAGCATCAACAGCGTGGCAAGAGGGCTCCTGGGCATGTGCAGAGTGCACAGCCTTGCAGCAATGCACAAAGCCCTCCATTAGGAGAGGGGGAGCAGCAGGAAGATGACCTCTTGGGAGGGGAGTGATGGCTCCTTTTTGGCTGGGGTCTGCCTAGACAGCGGGGGACTCCTGAGTATGGCAGGACGGGAAGCCCCACTGAAAAGCGTTGACAGCATTGGGGCGGGTGGAGGGAGAGCAAGCGGGCCCCTTCTGTGCAGAAGGCATGCAAAAAAAAGCCCCCATTGGGGAAAGGGTGGTGGTCAATTTTGCCTTGCAGTTGTTAAATGAATCACATGGTTGTTAAGTGAATTTAGCTTGTCAGAAGGTTGCAAAAGGAACCACGAGAGCCCGGAACACACATAAATACCAGTCAGCTGCCCAGCGTCCGAATTTTGATCATGTGACCATAGGGATGCTGCAATGGTCGTAAGTGTGAAACATGGTCTTAAGTCGCTTTTTTCAGGGCCGTTGTACCTTGGAACGGTCATTAAACAGGCACTGCAACTATCTTAAATACGAGCCGCTGGCCAAGCATCTCAGTTTTGATCATATGACCGCGGGGATGCCATGACGGTCGTAAGTATGAAACACAGTCCCAAGTCCCCTTTTTTCCAGTGCCATTCTACCTTGCAATGGTCACTGAATGGATGCTGCATCTGTCATAAATGAGTCGGTTGCCCAGCATCCAAATTTTGATCATGCAACCGCGGGGATGCCACGACTGTCATAAGTGTGAATCACGGTCCTAAGTCCCCTTTTGTCAGGGCCGTTGTACCTTGGAACGGTCACTAAACAGACACTGCAGCCATCTTAAATACGAGCCAGTTGCGAAGCATTTCAATTTTGATCGTACGACAGCAGGGATTCCGTGACGGTCGTAAATGCGAACAACGGTCCTAAATCGGGGCGGCGGGGTTGGGTGTATCTTCGAGCGGTGGTCAGTTGGACGAGTGCTGACTTCTGATCTTCCTTCCCGGCTAGGCGTGGGAATGGGAAGTGGAGCCTCAGCACCTGGCGCCCTTCCAACCCCCGGCCATTTTCGACCAAGCAGCCGAGAGAGAGATCTATCCGGCGGCTGAGATCTCCCTCTGGACAGTGGTGGCCGCCCTCCAAGCGGTGGAGAGGAAGGTGGACACCTCGGCCGCTCGCCTGCTCAACCTCGAAAGCCGCACGGCCACTGCCGAGAAGAAGATCTTCGAGTGCGAGAAGACGGAGCTAGAATTCGGCAGCCACCTGGCGGCCTTGGGCACCTTGATCCAGGAATACCGGGTGCTCCAACGGCGCCTGGAGAACGTGGAGAACCTCCTGAAGAACCGCAACTTCTGGATTCTCAGGCTCCCCCTCGGTCCGAAAGGGGAGATCCCCAAGGTAAAAAAAGAAAGAAGCACACAAATTGAATGCAACCAGGTACGAATCGCGCCTGGCTGGCTGTGGACGCGCCAGGTGTGACACAGGTGACTCGCTTGGTCCCATGGAGCAGGGTCTCCAACCGTGGGAACTTTTAAGGCTTGTGGAATTCGACTCGCAGAATTGGCGTTGCCAGCTGAAGGAATTCTGAGAGTTGAAGTCCACAAGCCTTAAAAGTTCCCATGGTTGGAGGCCAAGCGAGTTTCCTGTTGTCACACTGAATGTGGCGCCGGCTCAGGAATTCTGGGAGTTGAAGTTTTTCGACTTGAGGAGGTTGAGAAACGTCTCCTTCTCTGAAGCTGCGAAGCAGGTGACCTTGGTGAGGTCTTGGAGGGCTGCCTATCATTTTAGGTCCCTGTGACGTTTGACGAGGAGCAAGCGGTCCATTTCTCCACGCCGGAATGGGCCAAGCTGGAGGACTGGCAGAAGGAACTTTACCGGAACATCACGAGAGGAAGCTACGAGCCGCTTGTCTCTCTCGGTAAGCGCCGAGTTTGCCTTGAGGAGGATTCCTGTTATTGTTTTAGGCCAGGGGTCCGTGGTCCGTGAGCTGCAGCCTACGACTGGGTCCCCGAACCACGCGGAACCATCCCCTCTCCCCTAATAACTGATCAGACAGGACCCCACTGTCGCTTTCCTCTTCCTCCATCGCTTCCATCTCCTCTGTCTCTCCCTTCTAGCACTGATGATGTTCCCTAGCTGGGTCATCAGATGTCTGCAAGAAAACATCAAGTTCAGAGAGCACCAAGGACTCCCCCAGTCCTCCTCTTCCTCCTCCCTTCTAGCACTGATGATGTTCCCTAGCTGGGTCATCAGATGTCTGCAAAGAAAGCACCAAGCTCAGAGAGCACCAAGGACCCCACTGTGTGTTTCTCCTCCTCCTCTTCCTCCTCCTCCTCCTCCCCATGAACCTCACACTCACCTAGCATTGTTGATGTTCCCAGATTGGGTCATGAAATATCTCCAAGAAAACTCCTGAGATCAAAGACCACCAGGGACCCCACAGCCCTCCTCCTCCCCAGGAACCTTCTAGCGTTGATGTTGTTCCCTAGTAGGGTCACAAAACCCCCCACCCAGCTCAGAGAACACCAAAGAGACCTCACAGCAGTTGAGCCCAGAGCTACATAGGTTCCTTTCCATGTGCTTAACCTCTCTCCTTTCTCTCTCTCCTCCAGACTCTGCCATCGCCAAAGCTGACGTCCTTCCCCCCCAGGCAGCTCTGGGGGTAGCACCCCATATTGCAGATCAGCCCTTGGCGGTGGGAAAGGGACTCCCCCCGGCGGCCAAACCAGGTGCGTGAAGCGTCCGAACAGAGTGTGGCTTTTGCTCTGCAAATCTCTCTCCTGATCCCAGTTGGTTTGAGATAATGGTTTCTTTTTAAGCCCCCTCTGACCCTTCTTTGAAGCCCCCATCCCAATCCCTGGAGAAAAGGGGCCCTTCCTTTGGAGAAAAGGAGGCAAGAATCAAGACTCTCAAAAGGGCTGAAAGGGACCTTGGAAGTCTTCTAGTCTCACCCTCCCCCACCCCCTTTCCAAGATGGTTTGCATGGTGGAATTTGGCAGGAGCGGGCTGAGTTAGGCTCTGGCACCAGAGCTTTTCCCCCTCCCCAGTTTAGGCCAAGAATAGGGTACCTTGCAAGTATTGGGGAGCCCTGGGGTCCCCCAGAGATGGGTCCTTCTTCTGAACCATTCTTGAAGGGCTCAAAAATATGAGAGGCTCCTTCTGGAGCTGGGTCTGTAAACGTAGACCCCGCCTTCCATTTTCCCTTCCCCAAATTTCCCTGGCATACCATGATTCGTATTTGTTGCTGTGGTTTGCCTCTGGAATGATTCTTGATGTCCTGCAGCATTTGGAAAGCGCTGCTCTCTGAGCTGGGTGGTTTCCTTGCAGACGTTTCATGGCCCAACTAGGGAACATCATCAGTGCTAGGAGGGGGAGAGGTTAGAGGCCATACCCTGTTCCTTTCTAGTACTGATGCTGTTACCTAGTTGGGTCATAAAACGTCTGCAAGAAAACCACCCAGCTCGGAGAGCGCACTATTACTTCTATCAGTAATTCTATCTTCTATCAGCAGTGTTTCAGATAGAAAATCCCTACGGAGTGGTGAGGACAGTGGAGATGATAGAAAGCTCATTTCCCATCACTCAGGATGTTGCTTAAAAGCACTGTGTGCTTAGAGCTCAACGAATTGTTAGAGACCCCACACACACAGAAGAAGGTTTCAAAATATTTCTACAGGACTTCCCAATTCTGTCCCTAGGCCATCCATCTGAGAAACTCACAAAATTCATTTTTCTCGCCATGTACATATATACATCCAAACTATATTGGTTTGTTTCTCTGTGCCATGTAATATATGTAGGTATATGCATAATTTTGTATTTATTGATCGATTTTGACATGTTCGTGTAATGTATATCAGAGGTGGAGACCCTTTGAGAGCTGTAAGTAAAAGAAATTTCATTTCAATGTTATGCCAATTAAGTCTACATTAAAAGTGACAATAAAGTTATTCTGTAGTTCTGTGTGATCCTCTTTCCTAACAGCAGAACCATTGACTTCCAAAGACGATCTCTTGTCCTGGATTAAGCAGGAGGAATCTCCCGGTCCCGGGAAATGGAATCTGGAGAGAGAGATCCCTGCCACCCTCGGCTACGGTGAGTGTGGTCAAATGGATCACAGACCTCCAGTAGAAGCCATGATGCCATCTCATCTGACGTGATGTCACCAGACTTCCTGGCATAGCCGACTGGGGAATTCTGGGAGTTGAAGTCCACTCCTCAAGTGGCCAAGGCTGAGCAACGTGCCTTCAAAATATTTTGCACCTCTCTTTTGTCTCCTTCCTCAAACGTTAGCTCTTCTCCTTCGCTGCAAAGATCCGTCCATTTGAGGATTCCCTTTGATTCAGGTTCCTCGGGGTGGGGGCTCAAACGACTGGGCTCTCCATCTTCTACCCATTTTAACTGAGTTATTTCCCCCTCCCCCCCTCTCTTCCAGACGAGAGCACCAGAGTTAAAAGCGAGGAACAGAAGCTCCAAGAAAGTTTGAAACAGGTGTTGCCTCCCCGGCTCCATGCAGCACCCAGCAACGAGGTCTTCCAGAGCCCCAGATGTTGCCAGAGGCAAAGCTGCCCTCAGGGTCAGCCTGCCCCTCCTCCTCCTCCTCCTCCTCCTCCTCCTCCCCCCCAAAAGCCACCGGAGGAGCCACCCCAATCCAGTGAGAGAAGCTGCCCCGAGCCCCCACCACCAGCAGCCTGCTTGAAGGAGGGCCAGCAAAGCTCTTTCAAGGGTCTGGATGAGCTTTCCTTGCCCCCGAGGATCCCTGCAGGAGAGGAAGGGTACGGAGAAGGGGTCAGGCCAGTGGCCGAATCCAGTGCCCCCCCGGTCCCTGAGCCCTTCCTGTGCCCGGAGGATAACAACGGCTTCAGCGATGTGGCCGTCTCTGAAACCGCCGGCCAGCCCCACGCCTGCTCCCTCTGTCCAAAGAGTTTCCGGCTGAAGACCAGCCTGCTTATCCACCAGAAGACCCACGCGGTGGGGAAGAGCGACAGCCCCTTCGTGTGCTCCGAGTGTGGCTGCGGCTTCAGCCACCAGGCTCAGCTGACCCGGCACCAGGCCATCCACGCCGACCGGCCGCACCAGTGCTCGGAGTGCCACAAAGCCTTCAACCNGTACAAGTGAGATAGGAAGCCACCTGCTCAGGCGAAAAGGCACCAGGGAAACCCAAACAAGAGATAGGGGCCTATGTTGTTATTCCAAGCCGTTTACAGAGGCGTCTCACTCTCACGTACAAGTGAGATAGGAAGCCACCTGCTCAGACGAAAAGGCACCAGAGAAACCCAAACAAGAGACAGGGGCCTCTCGAGAAACGGCCAAGTTGACCTTTTACAGTGTGGGATGACAAAAGCCATGACTTCAATGGAGGAGCAGGAGAGTGGGAGAGTTTCTTAGGAGTAGAGAGTGTGAAATGTATTGTTTGAATGTTATTCTTTGCTCTCCATCCACTTGGGAGGAGACTTGGTGGCACCTTCGCAAACGCTTCTTATTTTTCTGTAAATAAACTTTTTTGAATTGAGAACCAGTTTTGTCTCTGTCTCGTGAGGATTTAATGATTGGGTTTTTATCTCACAACTGCACAAACAAATTTTAGGGGAAAGGCAAAATAAGAGGAAAAGAGAACATTGTCACTAGAAATGGGGCGACGTCCATCTGGGGACGTCTTGCCCAAAACAGTACAGGTAGTCCTCGACTTACAACGGGTCATTTAGTAACCGTTCAAGGTTACAGTGGCATTGGAAAAAGGGACAGATCACTTTTCACACTTATGATTGTTGTAACATCCCTGTGGTCACGTGATCAAAATTCAGATGCTAAGCAACTGATTCATATTTATGACCATTGCAGCGTCCCAGGGTCACGTGATCCCGTTTTGTGACCTCCTGACTAGAAAAGGTCAAGGGGGAAGCCAGATTCACTTAACAACCATATCACTAAGTTAACAACTGCATGGATTCACTTAACAAATGGGGCAAATGTGCCTTGTAAATTCGAAAGGTCACTAAATGAACTGCTATAGAGTAGTGTGGTGGCCTAGGGGTGGAGCTCTCACCTCACAATCATGAGGCTATGAGTTCGATTCTGGGCAGAGGCAGATATTTCTCTCTCTGGACACGATGAGAATAAATCTGCTGAACAAAACTCTGCATTGGCGACAGGAAAGGCATCCTGCCAGCAAACACTCTGCTAGCTCCCTTCAGTTGCCCAGACTCCACTCCACAAGGGATTATGGGGTCATTAAAAGGAGATGACTAAACGAACTGTTGCAAGTCAAGAACTATCTGTAGTGACTGTGAATAAAGCTTCCCAACCCAGGAAAAAATCACAACTGGCACATAAAATATAATTATACAAAAGGCCTCCTGGCCACACCCACCACACCAATTCCTCCATCTCCTAAACCCCTTAGGACATAATTTTTATAAAACAAAACGAATAAATCAAAGTGAGTAAGAGTAACGCCATCTTATATTCTCACTCTGCACATAGATTAGAGCAGGGGTGGGCAAATGCTCGTTCATGAAGCTGGACTTGTGCGAATAGAGGGTGCTTGCCCTCCCGTGCGAATATCCACGCGTGTGACCAGATGCCACTTGAATTCGCACCTGAATCTCCACTCACAGGAGTGGAGGATGCTCGCGTGAATGGAACCGCATATGAGTACAAATGTCCACCCCTCACACGATTGGAGTTTCACGCCTGAGTGCAAGCACCCTCCACTCGTGCATGAAGCTCCATTTGCGCAAGGGGAGGGAACATGCATGTGTGCGAGCCACGTGCATCAAATGGAGTTGTGCATGCCCGTGTCTGCCACTCACAAACCGACTGTGCTGTGCCGCCAAGCTTGAAAGTTTGGGAACCTCAGGATTAGATAACAAACAAAAATATACAATGCCCTCAAAAGAGGACACCAACTGAAATGGAAATGGGCTGGTCACATAGAGCAAGGACTGAGGGTAGGTGGACCAAAGCAGTCATAGAACAGATCCCACTTGATTAAAAAAAACAGCCACAAAAGACACCTAGAACAAGGTGGCCTAAAGCAGTGATCCCCAACCCCCGGTCCGTGGAGTACCTGGCACCGGGCCGCGCAGCGGCCGGGGGCCATGATCGCTGCAGCGGCCGGGGGCCAAAGTTTCNTGGATGGATGGATGGATGGATGGATAGATAGATAGATAGATAGATAGATAGATAGATAGATAGATAGATAGATAGATAGATAGATAGATATAGACAGACAAGACAAGACAGACAGACAAGGGCTCCAATTTATTGCCTTGATGAAATACACACTATACCAACACCCATGGAGATTGAGGATTGTTGAGATGTTGACCCAAACATAAAGTGGGGACAGGGAGAGGTTTGGGGATCTTAGATCAGCTTAATATAGCAACAACTGTGAGGTCCTTGGTGCTCTCTGAACTTGAAGGTTTTTGTGGGACATTTCATGACCCAACTAGGTAACATCATCAGTGAGAGAAGGGAATGGTATTTGCTCTCTAACCTCATTCCTTTCTGGCATTAACGATGTTCTCTAGTTGGGTCATGAAATGTCTGCAAGCAGACAACCTAGCTCAGAGAGCACCAAGGACCCCACAATCCTCCTCCTCCTGACACGCCACTCCCTTTTAGCACTGATGGTGTTGTCTAGTTAGGTCATGAAACGTCTAAAAGTAAACCACCAAGCTCAGAGTGCACCAAGGGCCACCCAGCCCTCCTCCTCCCCGCTTTCTTCTCCTCTGCAAACCCCACTACCTACAGGATTGATGATGTTGCCAAGTTCAGAGAGCACCAAGGACTCCACCGTTCAATCCTGAGCTTCAAATATCGCCCTCTATTGATAACAGCAATGATCAGAATAAAGAAATATATAGATACCACAGCCCAGTAGGACTTCAACTGTGAGTTAAAAAGAGAAGCCAGATTGTTGGGGTCAATATACGGACTCTAAATGGCTCAGAGTGGGCTGTAAAGCACAATGAACCGATATATAAGTTTAAATGCTATATAGCTCTCGATAGAAAGGGGTACCTACCCTCACTAGGATCGTATTGCATGTGCTCTCTGTGGGACTCCCCGGGGCCCAAGCACACCTCCTCCATCTCCTCTTTAATCCCAGAGGGTATGTCTACATACTCCATCGAAGAACCTGGACACAGAAGAGAGGAAAATGGGCATTGCTCTTCTCTCACATCAAGGAATCTCATGGACTGGAAGAAGTGTGCAGAAGCAGAACTGAGGAGGCAAGACATAAGGGCACTGCCTGCGGTTCACCGACAAATGCACGCTCGACAAAAGCGCGAGTTCAAAATCGCGCCGACGAATGAGCACAGAAGCGCGCTGACAGAAGCGCGCTCTAAACCTAACCCTAAAGGTAACCCTAACCTAAACCTAAACCTAACCCTAAACCTAACCCTAAACCTAACCCTGAACCTAACCCTAAACCTAACCCTAAACCTAACCCTAACACTAAACCTAAACATAACCCTAACCCTTACCTTAACCGTAATGGTGCTTCTGTCGGCACTCTTTTTTCGGCGAGGTTTTATCGCCGCAGTTTTGTCGGCACGCTGTTGTTGGGCGCGCATTTGTCGGGTCACGACTGCCTGCGGCATTAAGAGTCAAGAAGATGGTTGGAAACAAGCCGAGATGAACCGGAAGTTGATGGGATTCAGCTGGAGAAGAAAAAGGCCCACTGAGGACACAGGGGTGCCAAACTTGATTTCATTGAAGGTTATAACCGCATCAGAGTTATGTTTGACCTTGAGGTTGGGGGGGGGGGGGGTGGACGTGGCCAGATCGTCGTCACTCATGTCAGGGACACCTATGGCGCCCAAAGTTAAGGTGTTGTCCTCAACATCAGGAGACAATGAATTCTAGTCCCATCGTAGGCATGAAAAAGAGCTGAGTGAGTTTGGGCTAATCACTGGGAGACAGTGAGTTCCAGTTCCGCCTCAGGTATTAAAGCCAGCTGGGTGATTGTGGGCCAGTCCCTCTCTCCCAACCCAACTCACCTTCCAGGTCATTGTGGGAAAAATAGGAAGGGAAAGGAATATTACAGATTTTCCCCACCTTCAGTTACTTACAAAGTAATCAAGGTAGATTAAAAATCTAATATATCAATAACAAATAAGCAGTAAGGAGATGTCCGATTTATTCATACCAGCTTCCCATTTCTTTCCAGAATATGTCATTCTAGCACGGTCCAGAGGGAAGCAAGATTCTGGGATGCTCATCTCCCTGGTCAACGAGGAAGACGAGGAATTTTGGGCCAGCAAGGAAGATTTTCCCTTATGGGGAAAAAAGGCACGAGGAAAGGCTCCCTTCTTTCTAAGCCAAACCACAATTCCAGGACACTGTCTATTCACCCTCATGAAGTCCAGCACTGATCTCCTCAGGAGGCCTGATGATGCCACCGCCTTGAGGTCCTTCTACTTCTTCTTTCAGCCACAAAGAAACATCAACCGGAGCAACAGGGGACTCTGAATGGGGGAAGAGAGGAAAAGGTTGCCGTAAACCCCAAGGTCAAAACCCCCAAGGTCTGAAGGTGACCCACCCTTGAAAAGCATCCGGGTTCAAAATGTGGTGGTCACCCTGGTTTTGGAGAAGCCGAGTTTTGCAAACAGGTCAGCCCTTTTATCAGTTCCTGGTTTGCTTCGGTGTCCAATTCACTGTGCTGGTTGTTAAATCCCCACCATCATCTTTTAATGCCCCCACATGCCACGTGGGGGGAAGTCTGGCCAACTGAATGGAGCTGAGTGTTTACTGGCCGGATGCCCTTCCTGTCGCCAATGCAGAGCTGTATTCAGCAGACATATTCCCACCGTGCCCAGAGTCAGAAATATCTGCCTCTACTTAGGGTCGAACTCACAGCCTCCTGATTGTATTTTAGTATTTTTTTTAGTATTTTATTAAGATTTATAGGCCGCCCTTTTCCCTGAGGGGACTTGTGAAGCAAGAGCTCCACCTCTACGATACCACAACACCCTATAACAGTTTGTTTAGTGACCGACCAAATTTACAAGGCAGCGAAAAAACTGACTTAGGGATGTTGTTCCTCAGTTGGGTCATGAGATGTTCACAAGGAAACCATCCAGCCCAGAAAGCACCAAGGATCCCACACTCCTTGTCCTCCTTCTCTCCCCGCCCCCTTCTTTTTCTCCTCTACTCTGCAAACCTAGGGGTGAAATCCAGCAGGTTCTGACAGGTTCTGGAGAACCAATAGCGGAAATTTTGAGTAGTTCGAAGAACCGGCAAATGCCACCTCTGGCTGGCCCCAGAGTGGGGAGGGAGTGGGGATTTTGCAGTATCCTTCCCCCAGGAGTGACATGGGAATGAAGATTCTGCAGTATCCTTCCCCTGCCACGCCCATCAAGCCATGCCCATAGAACCAGTAGTAAAAAAAAATTGAATTTCACCACTGTGCAAACCCCACTCTCTTCTAACTGATGATGCTAACCTGTATATTTCAAGAAGCAGTACACTTACCTGTGCCAGGATGTGCTGGTGTGTCATTCTCAGACATGGTTTCAACAGTTGTATCATACAAGGAGTCTCCTTGTTCAATCCGGGTCAGGATCTCAGGCTTGGCAATCGCATAATCTATTCATGGAACAAATGAAAATACACTTGTTAACCGTGAAGGAAATGATATTAAGTTAATCTTTTATAAAATGTTAAAAGGTTACTTTTGTATTCCTTTACAATGTTAAATGTACAAGCCATTATATTCTTGCCTAAAATGTGTAAAAAGTTACTTTGCTTTTGCTAACCACAAAACGCGTTGAGTAAAGAGGACAAGATAACCTGTGTTGTTATTCCAAGCCGTTTACAGGCTTCTCANGTGGCCCTTTCTCTTCCCCTTTGAGGACATGGCAAGCGAAAATAAGAGCCCGTTGCAGAATACTGTAGACAGAGGGAGAAATGAGAGATAAAAGAAAAAGTTTAATTGTTTCAGAACAATTTAACTTCAGGTGGGAGAAGCGTAAATATGTATTTTCCTGGTTGGGTAACAATTTCGCTACCTGGCTCAAAGCATGTAAATCAGATGTTCAACTGAGGAAACTTTTAAGACCTGTGGACTTCAACCCCCAGAATTCCCCAGACAACAAATACATGGATCATCAAGACAATTGGGGGCACGGTGGCTCGCATGGTTAGGATGCTAGGCTGGAGGTCATCAAGCCCACAATTGAGACCCGGTGCTGCTCTAGGGCGGGGTGAGCTCCCGCCCTTCCCTCCAGCTCCTGTTGGGGACATGAAAGGAGCTTTCAAGTGGGCATCCCCCCCTCCCCCGCCCTAGAGCAGTGATGTCACCGGCTAATCCGATCAACACAGAAGCCCCTCAGTGCTTCTGACACGAGTGCGATGCAATCAGGCCAATCAATCCAGACTTCTCCCTCAAGGCACGAATGGCCAGGCTTAAATTATCACATTGTGCAACGATTCCGCTTGTTTGGATAGTCCACAAGGGCAGGAAACGCAGAAGGAAAGAAGAGAGGAGGACAACCCACAAAAGGTGAATGAACTCGGAACAGTCATGGTTGCATTGCTGGAAGAGTCGAAGGGCCAAATTATTCTGGAGAAATCATAATTAACAGCCATTAACGGCAAACACTATCATTATTACTGATCATGAATAATGACCGTTATTAGTGGCCAACAATACCTTGACGGCACACAGTCAAGTAGTCAAATCAAGGAAAAATTTATTCCTCTTAGCACAATGGTTTGTCACGTGGCCACTGAGCCCAGTACAGGAAATCCTCAATTTACAACCATTTGTTTAGTGACCGCTGGAAGTTACAACGGCACTGGGGGGGAGGGGATTTATGACTGTCTTTCAAACTTACGAGTACTGCAGCACCCCTGTGGTCACATGATCAAAATTCAGTAATTGGCATGTATTTATGACAGTTGCAGCGTCCTGGGGTCAAGTGATCGCCTCTGGCGACCTACTGACAAGCGAAAGGGGAAGCCAGATTCACTCTGTTACCAACTGAACAACTGCGGTGATTTGCAAAAGCTGTGGGGAAAAGGCGTAAAATGGGGCGAAACTCCCTTAAGTGTGAGCAATGGAAATGTTGTAATTCAAGGACGACCTGAAGCAGATCCTGCCCTCCCCAAACTCTGCTCCCTGACATTCTTGACCAGGACTTGTGGGCTTCCTAGCCTATACCCTGGCAAGGTGGAATTATTTTGGTTAATTCAGTGGGAAGGCCACGTCTCAACAAATAAACTACCGCCACCGTTCAAAAGAGACATCAGAAGAACCGAGAATTCTCCTCTTACCAGAGCTGGGGCCTTCCCCGAAGAACAACGGATCCTGAGCACACTGGTCTTCCTGAAGTCCACAGAGATGCTCTTCAGAAATAGTAATGGTCTGGTACTCTGGAAAGAAAGAAAGAGAGGGAGGGAGAGAGGGAGGGAGAAAGGAGGAAAGGAGGGAGGGAAGGAAAGAGAAAGAAAGAAAAAAGGAAAAGAAAAAGGGCGGGAGAAAGAGAAAGGAAGAGGGAGGGAGGGAAAGAAAGAGGGAAGGAAGGAAGGAGGAAGGAGGGAAAGAAAGAGAGAAAAGGAAGGAAGGAGGGGGGGAAGGAAGAGAAAGACCGAGGGAAAGAAAGGACAGAGACAGAAAGAAAAAGATAAGTAGATAGATAGATGATATAGATAGATAGATAGATAGATAGATAGATAGATAGGTAGGTAGGTAGGTAGGTAGGTAGGTAGGTAGGTAGGTAGATAGATAGATAGATAGATGATAGATGGATGGATGGATGGATGGATGGAT